ATTTTTTGTAATTTAAAATACAAAATTAGCAAAGAATTCTTCTTGCTAATCACAGAGCAAAAAATTTTTAAATACAAAATAATTAATAACTTTAGGAAACTTAGCAAAATAGTAGATATTAAATAGAAGCATGAGTTGAATAGCTTAGTAAAATTTTATATAAGAGGTAAAAAAACCTAGCAGATGATAATATTTTTTTTTTAAACTTAGACAATCTTGTCTGTTACTTTATTAAAGAAAAGTTAAAAAAAGTTACAAGATAAAATACTATAAAAAATTATACTAAATTAGAGCAGAAAATCAGTATATGTAAAATTACTGCGTATAGAACTGTACCAAATTATAGTATATCAATATATGCTAAAATTTTTGCTACGAATAACTCACGCACTTGTGAATACAATCCAATAAAAATCTCAATTTCAGTTAGATTATCTCTAAACCCCGATTTGCTGTGAAAGAACCCATATAATAGTTAAAATAATGTAATAAGAATATAGTATTAGAGGAATAGCAGGTATTAAGTAATATCATTTTAATAGTAGCTACTTCAAATAAGACATCTATATTAGCTATAAAAAAATATTTTATTATATCATAAGAAATCTCCCTCTTATCAAAAATCTCGAGTAGCAATTTGGAGCTAAAAATTTATTATACATGCATAAATAATCTAATCCCAACGTTCTAGGAAATGGAAGATATGTAGGTGAAATGAAAATAAATACTAGCAAGATAATGACTGATCTAAAAAAAAATGTTACAGTTATGAAAACAAATCTATCATGTAATATAGAGTATTTGCCAACATTAATGTTTAAAGTTTGGTACTAGGCTTTAAAGTCGGTGGTAATTCCTCTGGTAACTCACCACCACTCGTAACAGCTTTACAAAGATGCAAAGCAACTGCAAATTGATCAATATCCATATATCCATCTTCATCCCAATCTGCCAATTTCCAAATCTTTGATAATACAGGTTTTTCTAATCCTGTATCCATTAAAACCGGTTTAATTGATTCTCCGCTTACTTTGCCATTATTTGGTTTCATAGCATTAAATTGCGCTATAGCTTCTTGTTTGTTAACCGCTGAGAAATCCCAATAACTTGGTGGTAGATCTGTTCGAGTACTACCAGATCTTGGTAATCTTATATCAAATGGATTACGTTCTGCTGGTGATAACATTCGATTTCCTTGTGGAACTTTAGACATCAATTTTGGTAAATCATTAGATAATGCCTGGTATATAAATGTGTTTCGTCGTTAATTATATGTTAATTTGACAAATATCTTAAGAGCAGTAGGCAGATCTTACAAGTACATACATCTTCAGCCTTTTCAATAAGTTGAGATTTTAAGTTGCTAAATTTATCAAATTTGTAAATGCTAAGACCAGCTTTGAATCGTTCCAAATTTGGGAAATCTCCTGCTGCCAAATGATATCGATGTTGAACCTTTACAAATTCTTTATCTAATTTTTCAATAAGCTCGTTTTGTTTTGCTGTCTTACCGAACATAGGCATTTCTTTTTTCAAATGCCCAATAATATAA